CATCTCGGGGCCTCTCCGTCCCTTGGGGGGCTTGCGATCTGCGCAATTGTTGCCACTTTCGTGGGCTCCTGGGAGGCCCAGCGGAGGTGCGTCCCACATGGACCACCTTGGGACCTCGCCGCCCCCTGGTGGGCCTGCGATCTGCGCAGTTGTCGCCACTTTCGTGGGCTCCTGGGAGGCCCAGCGGAGGTACGTCCCACGCGGATCACCTCGGGACCTCGCCGCCCATTGGGGGGCGTGCGATCTGCGCAGTTGTCGCCACTTTCGTGGGCTCCTGGGAGGCCCAACGGAGGTACGTCCCACGCGGATCACCTCGGGACCCCGCCGCCCCTTGGGGGGCTTGCGATCTGCGCAATTGTCACCACTTTCGTGGGCTCCTGGGAGGCCCAGCTGAGGTACGTCTCACGCGGATCACCTCGGGACCTCGCCGCCCATTGGGGGGCGTGCGATCTGCGCGGTTGTCGCCATTTTCGTAGGCCCCTGGGAGGCCCAGCGGAGGTACGTCCCACATGGACCACCTTGGGACCTCGCCGCCCCCTGGTGGGCCTGCGATCTGCGCGGTTGTCGCCACTTTCGTGGGCTCCTGGGAGGCCCAGCGGAGGTACGTCCCACGCGGATCACCTCGGGACCTCGCCGCCCATTGGGGGGTTTGCGATCTGCGCAGTTGTCGCCACTTTCGTGGGCTCCTGGGAGGCCCAGCGGAGGTACGTCCCACGCGGATCACCTCGGGACCTCGCCGCCCCTTGGGGGGCCTGCGATCTCCGCAGTTGTCGCCACTTTCGTGGGCTCATGGGAGGCCCAGCGGAGGTGCGTCCCACGCGGATCACCTCGGGACTTCGCCGCCGCTTGGGGGGCTTGCGATCTGCGCAGTTGTCGCCACTTCCGTTGGCTCCTGGGAGGCCCAGCGGAGGTGCGTCCCACGCAGATCACCTTCGGGACCTCGCCGCCCCTTGGGGGGCTTGCGATCTGCGCTGTTGTCGCCACTTCCGTTGGCTCCTGGGAGGCCCAGCGGAGGTGCGTCCCACGCAGATCACCTTCGGGACCTCTCCGCCCCTTGGGGGGCTTGCGATCTGCGCAGTTGTCGCCACTGTCGGTCGTGGGCTCCTGGGAGGCCCACCGGATGTACGTCCCACATGGACCACCTTGGGACCTCGCCCCCCCTTGGTGGGCCTGCGATCTGCGCAGTTGTCGCCACTTTCGTGGGCTCCTGGGAGGCTCAGCGGAGGTACGTCCCACATGGACCACCTTGGGACCTCGCCGCCCCCTGGTGGGCCTGCGATCTGCGCAGTTGTCGCCACTTCCGTTGGCTCCTGGGAGGCCCAGCGGAGGTACGTCCCACGCGGATCACCTCGGGACTTCGCCGCCCCTTGGGGGGCTTGCGATCTGCGCAGTTGTCGCCACGTTCGTGGGCTCCTGGGAGGCCCAACGGAGGTACGCCCCACGCGGATCACCTCGGGACCTCGCCGCCTCTTGGGGGGCTTGCGATCTGCGCAGTTGTCGCCACTTTCGTGGGCTCCTGGGAGGCCCAGCGGAGGTACGTCCCACGCGGATCACCTCGGGACCTCTCCGCCCTTTGGGGGGCTTGCGATCTGCGCAGTTGTCGCCACTGTCGGTCGTGGGCTCTTGGGAGGCCCAGCGGAGGTACGTCCCACGCGGATCACCTCGGGACCTCGCCGCCCCTTGGGGGGCTTGCGATTTGCTCAGTTGTCGCCACTTTCGTGGGCTCCTGGGAGGCCCAGCGGAGGTACGTCCCACGCGGGTCACCCCGGGACCTCGCCGCCCCTTGGGGGGCTTACGATCTGCGCAGTTGTCGCCACTTTCGTGGGCTCCTGGGAGGCCCAGCGGAGATACGTCCCACGCGGATCACCTCGGGACCTCGCCGCCCCTTGGGGGGCTTGCGATCTGCGCAGTTGTCGCCACTTTCGTGGGCTCCTGGGAGGCCCAGCGGAGGTACGTCCCACGCGGATCACCTCGGGACCTCGCCGCCCCTTGGGGGGCTTGCGATCTGCGCAGTTGTCGCCACTTTCGTGGGCTCCTGGGAGGCCCAGCGGAGGTACGTCCCACGCGGATCACCTCGGGACCTCGCCGCCCCTTGGGGGGCTTGCGATCTGCGCAGTTGTCGCCACTTTCGTGGGCTCCTGGGAGGCCCAGCGGAGGTACGTCCCACGCGGATCACCTCGGGACCTCGCCGCCCCTTGGGGGGCTTGCGATCTGCGCAGTTGTCGCCACTTTCGTGGGCTCCTGGGAGGCCCAGCGGAGGTACGTCCCACGCGGATCACCTCGGGACCTCGCCGCCCCTTGGGGGGCTTGCGATCTGCGCAGTTGTCGCCACTTTCGTGGGCTCCTGGGAGGCCCAGCGGAGGTACGTCCCACGCGGATCACCTCGGGACCTCGCCGCCCCTTGGGGGGCTTGCGATCTGCGCAGTTGTCGCCACTTTCGTGCCAGCGGAGGTGGGTCATGCGCGGACCACTTCGGTACCTCGCCGCCCCTTGGGAGGCTTGCGATATGTGCAATTGTCGCCACTGTCGTGGGCTCCTGGGAGGCCCAGCGGAAGGCACGTCCCACGCGGATCACCTCGGGACTTCGTTGCCATCTGGGGGGTTTGCGATCTGCACAATTGTCGCCACATTCGTGGGCTCCCCGGAGGCCCAGCGGGGGTGGGTCCCACGTGGACCATTCGGAGGTACGCCATACGCGTTTCGTTCAACGATCTGTGTTTCCATGTTGTATAGTTGCCGTTCGTCTTCTTGCTGCGCTCTTCTGAAATCACTGTTGGGTGCTCTTCTTGCGCACTGCGGGTCCTTCAGAATGCCAGTCAGCATGGAGTGGTCCTGAGTATAATCGCCACATGTATAATTTGGGTTGGGTACGTCACAGGGTAATTCCCCGCCGAGGTGTTCAATTGATTTTTTGGTATGAAGGGCGAAGAGAAGGAGCAGGAGGAGGAACAAGAAGAGGGGAGGGAACTGAGGAGGATGAGACGCGCGACGAAGGTGAGGCGCAACACACTACTCACACAACTGCTTGCGGGGCTGCGTTCGCAAGTCGATTTGCGAGTGACGCCTGGAAGCGGGGAGGAGCGGGCAGGATGAACAGGAAGAGGAGAAGGAAGAGGAGATGACGGGTGAGGAGGAAGAGGGGGGCGAGGAGGAACGAGATGAGGGTGAGGAGCATGACGAAGGTGAGGACGAACACATTACTCACAAGACTAGTTGTGGAGCCGCGTTCACAATCAGTTTCGTGAGTCCCGTAGCGGGTTGCGTTCGCAACTAGAGTTGTGAGTGACGCCTCGAAGTGGAGAGGAAAAGAAAACATGAACAGGAGCAGGATCAGCAGGATGGGGAGGGTGAGGAGAAAGAACAGGAGGGCGAGGAGAATGACGAAGGTGACGAGGAACACGTTACTCACAAACCTAGTTGTGGAACGGCGTTCACATGTAGTATTGCGCGTAATATCTCGTAGCGGGAGGTTACTCGTAAAACTAGTTGCGGAGGTGCGGTCAAAACTAGATTTGCGAGTAATGCCTCGATGCGGAGAGGAGCGGGCAGAACGAAAAAGAGGAGGAGCAGGAAGAGGAGGGTGAGGAGGAAGAAGGGGAGGGTGAAAAGCATGACGAAATTGAAGAGGAACGCGTGATTCACAATTTAGTTGTGGAGCCGCGTTCACATATAGTTTTGTGAGTAATCTCTCGTAGCGGGAGATTACCCGCAAGACTAGTTGTGGACTTGCGTTCGCATCTAGATTTGTGAGTAACGCCTTGCAGAATGGAGGGGGACGGGCATAATGAAAAAGAGGAGGAGCAGGCAGACGAGGAGGGTGAGGAAGAAGAGGGGGGTGAGGAGCATGATGAATGTGAGGAGGCACACCTTACTCACAAAACTAGTTGTGGAGCCGCGTTCACAATTAGTTTTTGTGAGTAATGCCTCGTAGCGGGAGGTTGCTCGCAAAAGTAGTGGTGGAGTTGCGTTCACAATTAGATGTGTGAGCAACGCCTCGAAGCGGAAAGGAGGGGGCAGAATGAAGAGGAGCAGGAGCATGAGGGAGTTGTGGAGGATCTCAAAAGGAGTCTTTGCGTCGAGGATTTCGATCGGAACCCTTCAGTGGAGGGTCTCAACGCGAATCCTTCTTCGGAGGATTTCAATAGGAATCCTTATGTGGAGGATTTCAATCGGAATCCTCTTGTGGAGAGTTTCAATCGGAATCTTTCTGTGGAGGCCGAAAGACAGCGAACATTTCTCAGAAATATATGTATTCACATGATTTCGGGAGAACTTCTGGGGAGAGGGGCCGGCAAGGTTTTTCCGAACTCATAGTTGTTTTTGTTGTTTTTGTTTTTTTTTGGTGGGGGGATGTTTCAAATGCGTGCGTTGTTTTGGTCGTAATGTATGTTGATTCCTCCTCCCTCCCTTACTTCTTCCTCCATGTTCCTGTTTCTTCCCTTCCGCACCCTCCACCCTATTTCGTTCCTGCTCCCCCCAATTTTGTTGTTCTCCAAATAGGCTTGCCCTATAGGAGTCCTAGCTCATCATAAGTAATTGGTCTTTAGCCCCCCTCCTTTTCCAATGGCTCCCCCCTTATTTACAATGGCACCCCCCTCCCCCTCCTTTTTCCAATGGCACCTCCCCTTATTTCCAATGGCACCCCTTGCTTGCCCTTGCTTGCTTGCACTTGATCGCTTGCCCTTGCTTGTTTTTGCTTGCTCTTGCTTGCTCTTGCTTGCCCTTGCTTGCCCTTGTTTGCTTGCGCTTGATCGCTGGCTCTTTCTTGCTTGTTATTGCTCGCTTGCGCTTGCTTGTTTCCGCTTGCTTGCTTACGCTTGCTTGATGCTGCTCCTCCCGTCCTGCTCCCCTTCTTCTTTCGTCCTCCTCCCATCCTCCTCCTGTCCTCCTATCTATTTAGAGTCAACGCTGGCTGATATCCTCCACGTTTCCTCCCCGCTTCCGTGCCATCTCTGCCTCCCTGCCCCGCCCCGTCCCGCCCCCTCTCCCCCTCCCCCCCGCGGTCTTCGTCGACGGTCCACGTGGAGGTGCAGCTCAACCTGGGGGGCGCCGCCGCCGAGAATCTGACGGCCGCCGCCGAGCCGCCCGACTACGCCGAAAACGACACGGTCCCCGCTGTCAGGGCCCGCGCGCCACGGCCACAGCGCCGCCCCGCCAGGAGCGCGCGGGATCCCGCCAGGTGGGGGCCCTGGACCCCCCCCCGTCCACGTTCGAAGCCGAGGAGGATCGGAGAATGACAGAACCTCCGCCCCGCCAGGTCCATCGGCGAATTGCGTGTTCTCGGTTCTCGAGAGGTCGAGAGCGTGATGCGGCCGATCTCCTGCGGGCCTGCTCCCGCCAGGTCTGGCCCCAGGGCCGGTTCCATGCTCAGGGGGGTTTTGTCCACCCCGTCCGGGCTCGAAGCCGGGGATCGAATGCGCCTAGAGGGGCCGATACTCAAGGGTCTCGGGGTCCATGTCTTCGGCGGGGTTCCAGGGCGAATGCGTGTAACACTCGCCGGTGGGCTATTCGCCTCTATCGTCGCCTCCGAGAGCAGGGGCTGGGCGGCCACGGGGGAAGGGGAGGCCAGGACCAGAACGGTGGGGGGGCCTTCGGGGAGGCAGGACCAGGACAAGGAGGCGAGGCCATGAGGGGCGTGGGGCGCGCCTTGCGCTCGGAAAGTAGAATATCACATATAGAACTTGAAGCTTAGGCCTGCCCTGGGCTTACTCCCGGGGCCTACCCCTAGGCCTACCCCTGGGGCCTACCCCTGGGCCTACCCTAGGCCTACCCCTAGGGCCTACCCTTAGGCTTACCCTCGTCCTACCCTTCGGGCATACCAGTAGGCCTACCCTGGGCCTACTCCTAAGCCTCCCTGGGCCGACCCTAGTCCTCTACCCCTAGAGCCTACGCCAAGGCCTACCCCTAGGCCTCACCCCTAGGCCCTACCCCTCGGCCTACCCCTTGAGCTTACCCCAAGGCGTACCCTAGGCCTACCCTACGGCCCCTCCTTAGGGCCTACCCTGGGCCTACCCTGCTTTGGGGCGACCCGCTCCGGCAAGTTGCGAGCTTGGTTGCGCCGCGGACGAACGCAACGCCATCTGCCAATGGGACCTGCAGTTCCCTGTGATATTTGACCTTGATGTCCGTCGTGACGAACTGGTCCGGGTCGCCGGGGGAATGCGCGCGCGGCGTCTTCGGCCGCGGGAAAGGGTCGCCCGCTCTTCGAGGAGATGGCACTCGAAGCGGATATTGTCCCGCGTCGGGTTGTCGTTGCCCATGAGGCCCAGCATCCGAGCCCTCGCTATCCACAGTTCTTCGCACCACCTATTCCCCCAGCTCGCGGAGAGCCTCGGCTGCCTCCACCCGCTGCTCGTAGTGCAAGTGTCCGTAGAAGCAGGATCAGGCCCGGGCCGCCCGGCCCGGGCCTCTCGCTTGGCGTCCTGGAACAACGGGGCCACCGTCGTGGCGTGCCTTGGTCTGGGCTCCAGCCTGTAGTCCTTGGGCGGCGCGTAATTGTCCGTGTCTGCCTCCGACGTCTTCGGGAAGTTGGCGCAGTTGACGCAGCGGTCTGCCAGGCGGACGCGGCCTCGCCCCCCGCTCGGGGAAGCCGCGAAGCATTGGCGATGTTCGGCGGGAATTCGAAGGGCCGAGACAGGGGCCTGGAGGTCTGGCCGATAGACCCCGCCCCATGGACCGCGTTCTTCCCCAGGAGGCCTGGGCGCAAGGACATTGCAATGTTGTCGCACCCGCGCGCCATGTGCGCCAGCTGTTCCTCGGTCCGCCCGATGCTCGCAAGCGTTCCCTCGCCCGCGCCATTGGGCTCCTCGGAATGCTCGCTGGCTCGCCCCAGCCCTCCGACCAGGCCCTGCAGCCCGATGCCTAGCTCGCTCTCGGGAAGGCTGGGCGCCGGCGCCCTTTCTTCCACGGGCGTGGGGGGGCGACCGCGCGCCGCGCGGCGGCCTCTACGAACGACGGCGCCCTTGCGTTCGCCCGCGGCGTGTCGGAGCTCGCTTCCCCCGAGCCGACGAAAGCGGGTGGGTCGATCCTCGGGTCTGCCCAGCGGGCCAGGGGCCTCCGGCTAAAACCCGCGAACCCCAGCCCTGGCGAGGCGCCGACCGGCGGCGGCGGCGTAGCCGGGTGGGGCAGGGGTCGCTCAGCCTCCGCACGCGGTGGAGGTCTTCCTTCCGGCAGGGCCCCTCCCCCTTCGTGATCCTTGACCTCTGTGGCTCGACAACCTCGCAGCGAGCTGGGCCCGGCCTCGCTGGCCGCGCCGTCGTGCGCGGCGCCCGCTGCCTCGATGAGCTCGGCTGGGAACTCGCGGTGGCCTGCGCCGCTCTTGGCGGCCACGGCCCTGCGAGCTGCCTCGTCGGACTGGCCATCCGCCCTCTTGGACAGGTAGTTCGCGATGTGAACGTTTCGCGGATCTCCCCTGCGCTTCACCTCGCCCTGCTCGCGCGCCTTTTGGAGCCGCTCGTCGAGGTCGCGCGGCCGTCGACTAGGTGCGCGACCGTGTTCTCCTCGCAGTCGCCCGTGCTCGGCTCGGACTCGGTCTCGGAATTCTGGCCCATCTCCCCTGCCTCGGCGGGGTCCTCTTCTGGGCGCGGGCGGCGCCGGCGCTGCTCGGCGCGGCGCCGGCGCGCGCGCCTGCGGAGCCCGCCCAGGCCGCGGCGCGCCCATGCGCGACGCGCCCTGCCTCCCATCCTCGCGCGTCCTGTGGGGGCGAGCTTGGCTAACAAGTCTGCCACGTGGATCTGCGCGCCGTGCTCGGCCACGCATGAGGGGCCGACGCGCGCGAGGTCATTGTCGCTCTGGGGGAGGGCGTAAGGAAGATATCTGCGCCAAGCGCACCATGCGAATGCCGCCCTCGTCTCTGGGCGCTTCCAAGTCTGCCTTATAGCGGCGGCGGGGGCGGCATTTGATCTCCGCGGTGAACGCGCCGTGGCGAGTGATGCGGCTACCGTTGAGCGGTCCTTGCTTAAGCCTTGCCACTGAGCATCCTGAGCGGATGATGAGGTCCTTGGACATCGTGTTCTCAATCCTCCTTCTCGCGTGCACATTGCTCTTTGCGCGCTGTCCGTCGGCCGCTGCAGCCTCCGCAGGTCCTCGCCGTGCGAGGGCGGCCCCAGCGTCTCATTACAGCGCCGCCTTCGCGTCGTGCCCAGACTTGCTGCCTTGGGCAAACCCTCTCGCCGTGGTCGCGATGCAAGCGAAATAGCTCCAGGCGGTGCGCGAGAACCAAGATGCGAAGCCGATCGCCGCCCCAAGATGGCGATCACTCCGCACCCGCAAGACCCATCGCAACCAATTGTAACTTGACCCAGTAGCAGCCGATGGGGTAGCGGCCCATGGCGTCGACCATGCCCACGAGGAAGGAACGGGGCCAGTGGAACAGCGCCCCGAGAGCGCGTCCGACGCGCTCGCCTGACCATTGGAGCGCGGCCTCGGCCCACATGTTGACCAGCGACATTGCGCCCGTCTTCTGCTCCTGCTTCTTTTCCTGAAGTGATCCGCCGCTCGGCCGCTCCTCCAGCGGCGAACTCTGCCCGCCCCCCGGCAGAGGCCCCTCGGGCGGCGGCGGCGGGGCGGAGGCATCTTGGCCCCCAGCGCTAGCCGCGGGGAAGTGGCGCGGCCCCGGCCGCGGAGTTCCTTCGCCTTCTGTCTCGCGCCTCGGCGGCCCCTGCTGGACATCGTCCGGGTAGTGGCGACTGTAGTCGTACCCGTAGTCGAGGTAGCTTGTTTGGCCCAGGACAGGCGCCGAGCTTCTAGCCCCGTCGACGCCTGCAAGTCTGCTGGGACCCGCTGGGCGCCCGCCCGAGTCGGCCGTGGCTGGCGGCGGACTCGCGGCCGCAGGGCGCGGGTCGCTGCCTCCTCAGGCTCCGCATCATGTCTTGTCGAGGCTGGCGGCGCCCCCCCACCCTCGGCGGCGCAGCTCGGAGGGCCATCTGGGCCAGCACGTTCAGCGTCATCGCCGCCTTTGCCTCCGCTGTCGCCCTCGTCGTCTTCTGCTCGAGCGCGGCCCGCCTCGGCCCCCCTGTAGGCGGCCGTCGCGGTGAAGCCCGCGCGCAGCCCGACGCCCGGCGACGCGTCGAGCCACGTGAGCTCCGCGAAGACGGCCGTCGCAACGCTGCATTCTAATGTGCGGAGCAGTCGCGACCGAGGGCGACGAAGGCGCTGGCGCGCGTCGCCCGCAGCTGCGCGAGCCGCGCGACCTCCCTCCAGAGTCGCCGCCCGTCCTGGAGGGGGGGCGGGGCGGTGCCACCTGCCAGCGCTCCTCTGGGCCTTGCTGGCCCTGGCCTCGCCCAGGCCGAGCAATGAGCTATGGCCCGCCCGCCCACCCGAACAAAAAGACGCCGTGGTCGCAGCGGCCACTTAAGCCAAGAACGACGGAGGATGACAGAAGAGAAAGAGAGAGCACCGGGCAGAGTGCAGCTACGATTGGCGCGAAAACTCTACGTTCTCACGAACACGAACGTCCCTTCGTTATCTCGGGCCCCCTTTTGGCCTCCAGGGTATTATTGGGTTTTCTTTCGGGCTTCCTGAGCCATTCTGAGCATTCCTGCAGCGTCCTGGAACTTGTTTAAGATTCCGCGGGCCTTGTGGAGTAAATATGTTCCTCTCCGCCTCATTTCCATGCTGCTTTTCACATCACTTGCTTGGCTGCGCACTGTGTGACTATCTGCAGCTGTGTTGTACTCAAGCTACGCGTGAGCGCACAGGAGATAAAAGGAGCGTGGTGGCTCGCACGCGCGCGCCGAGGGGTCGCCCCCTCGTCGTGCTCGTGTCGTCGGCCGGCCGGCCTCCTCACTCACTATTCCTGGTGGAGTACATCTGCTTACCCGTTACTTGTCTTATCGATGTCTCACCCCGCGCCCTCTACCACTGAGCAGAGTGAACACGAGACCTTCATGTTTTTGTCATCTTACCCCGCTTCTCAGAGGAAAGACTGGCCATCAGCCGACAGCCGCGACATAGTCGACGCGGGTTTGAATCAGCCAGGAAACTGGTCTTCCGACGAACCCCGCGACTTAGTCGCTACGGGTATGAGCTATGATGAGACAGATGAAATGCCCGTCACTTCGCGAAACGCTGAACAGCAAGTTGTACAACGCGACGGTCATGAACTACAGGAGAGCGGCCCGGAGCAGGGCCGCCTACCTCCTTCTAGTATCGCCTATC